TTAGCAGTGAATGTTAACTACAGTCTACATTGGCTGAAAAAGAAGAGCAGTCAGAGATTACTCTGTAATTCTCTCCAGTATGATCTCTGTGGGACTCCATGAAATCTCTGTACGGCTTCTTTACATGGAGACTAACTGTGTAGAATTTGACCTGTAACGAACTAAAAAAGCCTAAAAGAACATTAAAATGTCTTCTTTGTTTCTATTTATTTGAACATCCCACTCTGATTCTCGCAACATCCAAGCATCCACCATTCTCAGAAATCCTTGCCTGAGAATACCTGTGAATCTATGAATGCCTAAAGCAAACCTGTGAATCAGGTAAGTACTATGGCTAAGATAATGCTTCAACCAAGACTGACCTGTTTTGGGGGAAACTGGGGGCAACCCCCTTTCATCACGTTTCCTTTTCATTTAATTAACCATATATAATTCAGAAAATATTGTAGATAACTCAAAGCTTTCATTTCGGTCTCGTGTGCAATCACATCATATGCATCTTATATTAGGAGTTTGCAGTCCAGACGTACAGTAACAGTCAAAACTTTGGATAAATTTACTCAAAATGTCATCAAACATCACGACTACGAAATAACATACATGGAATCAGGTAGTGGCAAAAAAAGTTAATCAAACCCAAACAAATCAATACGATTTTTCAGAGTAGCCCTCCTTTGCCTTAATGCAGCTTTACACACTCTTTGTCATTCTCGCAAGCAACTTCATAAGAAGCTAACAGTCCTAAAGAAGTCAAATACTAAGCATTTCTACTTAATGAGGCATTTAAAAATGATAATACATGCATGTGTTAATAAGTTAGTGTTAATAATTTTTGTAACGTTAACATTATATTTTATATTTCATAGCACGGTTAGCAACTATTTACTATTTATATTTGAAAGAAATTTAAAGCATATGCCTTTAGACCAAATGTCTTTAAGATTGTGAAAAACATTTTCAAACTGATGTGTCCAAACTTCTGACAGGTGCTGTATGTAGTACAACACTACACTGTTGCTAATAAGATGATACTTTAGCTTTGATTTATTTCAGTATTAAGCTTATTATTAACCTAATTTTAACCCTTTAAGTAAAATCGCTCCAGAGAGTGGCTTTAAAAATGTGTTGCTTAACATGAAATTAGATGTCAGTGTCACATTCAGTACAACACTACATTCTGCATTTTTCAGACGGAGCTAAACTCTGAGCACTCTGTATCTGAACATCTCGGTTAATACTATTTCTGTCTTTCTCTTTCCAACCGCAAGCGGTACCAGTGGTTAAATATTTGATTTGCGCTTGTCTGAGCATAAGTGGAGTGTTTTTCAGCTGTTCGGCACGACATGCACTCGAGAGACCAACTACTCATTTAAAGCTGACGAGAACAGCAGCTTGTCTGTTGTCTAAGAAAGAGCCTGTTTTTTTCTCCCTCTCTGTTCCACATGAGTTGCTGCAAAACGAGATCTGTTCAACATCTGCAGCTCAGCTCTGGACCCACCTTCCACCGCCCACTGAGCATTCTACTCCAGGGCAACCACCGATGCCGTATGAATAAACACAGCCACAAAAGCACAACCAGCCACACTGCCACACATACACACAGAGGATCCGCTTGCAATGCATTGGTACTCCATTCTGCACACACTTGACCTACTCAGAGTACATTTTTACATGGAAAAAAAGCCATGAAGCCATTTGCAAGCAAACTGCCCAAGTAAAATTTAAACTGAAATGTATGAACTATTACTGAAAGCAGTTTATGATTGTGTTGGTTTCCATTCAAAAGCACACACCTTATAAGAAAACTACGGATATTCATTCATACACACTATACTTAGATTCAGCAGGGTTGAAGCCCATTCTACTCAAAGCCACAATCTAAACACTGCATCAGCCAAACTGGATCAAAGGGACTATCCCATTCTATCTATTGTAAAATAAGCAGCAATGTAACAATGCATCACGACATTGCGATACTGCAATGCAAAAATGTGACAGTGAATCACGTTTAATCATGGATTTAAAACACTGCATCATGGATAATGGACTTTATGTTACTTAGTAACACACAACAATATAAAAATCATATCAGTATTAGTAGATATTTGCTTTAAAAAGATTATCAGCATCGGACACGTTTAGAATTGACTGATTTCAAATTGTTCTTTGCTTTTGTATTTTTTGTATTCTGGAAGAGCAGAACATTTAGGTGACACTGAATTACTGCGCTAAAATGTATGTGTTTTATGCATTTAATTGCATTTGTTTCTTCAAACAAATGTTACATTTCTCTGTTAAGCTAACCCAGGCAATTTCTAAATTTTATATAAATGTTTATGTATCGGCATTGGCAGAGATGCTAAACAATGGATATCGTCACTCAATTAAAGTATCAGCACTGGCAGAGATGCTAAACAATGGATAATTGTGGGCGCCCTGGCCCACAATTGGTGCACCCCCTTTATTAATAATGCCATCTAATACATTTGCATTGTTTGGACATTTTCATCGATCAGCACCAACTGACTCACTCCAGTACTCCACCCTCCCAGCTCTACTGTCATTAAGTTATGCAACAACATGATTACAGTCATAATGCTTCTTCATTCAAAATTTGTTTAGAACATCGTGAGAACACCGTATTGTGAACCCAGTATTGTGCATCAAATGGTATTGTGTGCTGAGTTTATTGTTACATCCCTAAAATAAGTCATATTAATACAGGTGCTTTTTCTAATAGGTATTTTACACAACATATAAATAAAAGCCAAAATTCTTTAAATAATAAAATGACACTGGTGCCATATGGAGGCATTTGCTATGCATGAACAGTGAATGACAGTCATCTCAGGGGGTCAAGCACAGGGCTACATTCTGCTACTGAAGTAACCAGAGAAGCAAGGGTCCCAATGGGATATCTGAACTGAGTCACACAACCACAAACTTCTTGGCGAATTGGTTTTCAATGACAGGTCTTCAAAGTGAAGTCACTGAGTATTATGTGGCTGTGTCTCACTTATGAACAAAGTAGCACAACGCAATTCTATTGCTACATACTGTGACCACGATATTCCTTTGATATAATAAATACACACTGGTGAGCCCTTAATGTAGTTAAAAACTGACCTGTATTATTTTAACCAAAAGTAAAATTAACACTTTTTAGATCAGGTGGATGCTTACAATAACAATTAACAAATTATATCATCATATCAGCTTATTGGCTGTGTTCATCTGTGCAGCCTGGGATCTTTTTGGAGCTGTCCAGTTCAGCACTAGATGTCCAGGATCCTGATGCTGAGTGACTTTATTAAACCCTTGTCCTGTTCGCTGTTTCACTTAAACCCATTATCTAACTTGGACACTGGTATTTTACCCAGGTCATAGAAATAAACTCACAGATACTATCTCTGCTTACATATAGGCACACAAGCACTCATCAGTGCATTCACAAAGGTGTGTCACTTTTGAAAGGCAATGCAAGGTCAGTTTCTTTCTAACCTAATTAATAATGGAGAGTTGAGCCAGCTGACTAGCGGCAAAGCATACTGGAAGCTACAATCACTAGGACAGCACATACACAATTTTATATGGCTCTGCTGAAGTGAGAGCAGAAGAGACATTAATATCTTGGAGAGTACACAGACCTTAAGAGCACTAGCACGGTCTACTGACCAACTGCAAAAGGCTGTTTTAGTGTATAAATATCAGGCAAACTGTCAAACCACACAAAACTTAAAAAGAAAAAAAATAAAGGTTTTCAGTAGTGGTTCATTAAACAGGCCTGCAGGCCGTTTTAATAGCACTAACATCCAATTAATAAGCTGAATCCAAGTCATTCTGTCAGAAGGCACCACACAATCTAAGCAGTAGCGGAACTGGAAAAAATCAAAGGGGGGGGGGTTTAACCCCTTAAATCTCAGGCTTATTATTCCGTAACTACAGGGACTTCAATGCAAACTGGCTGAGATATTCTTAGGTTATAGAAGTGTGAAATAAAACTTAATAAAACTAGGGGGTTAAACAACAACTTGGTCTAAGGCACTCAAATGCAATTTGGTGTGTAAATCTCTAATAACAGACACCCTAAGTGATATATTATTACTCCAATTGAGATGGGAAAGGTGAATGACAGGTGAAAAGCAGAATGTGTGATGAATTCTGTATCATTATTATTATTCTTATTATTCTTATTATTATTTTGACTGAAGTATGGCATCCTTATGTATCCCCCCTCAAACCAAGCCCTGAGTCTAAGCCAACAGGCTACAGTAGGTTGCTATGTCTATATAAGATTTTCAGGTAGCCAGTGCAAGAAACCACTGAAATCTTTTGAGAGAGAGAGAGAGAGAGAGAGAAAGAGAGAGAGAGAGAGGTCTTCTAAGTTACAAACTAAGACTAAAAACTATATTTTCTAACATTAGGCAGGGGTGGTGCTCATGATACATGACTGACACAGATAACCGTTTCTGTGGCTTTTACAGGCGCCTGTCTTCATCATGTCCTTGAACAGCCAGTTGACATGAACGTTAAACCTGACCGTAGCGTAGCGCAGCTGTGAGTAACTCAGCTGCAGTTTGAACGTGGTCAAAAAATACCGGCTAAAAACGCCTAGTTGAGCCACAGAACCACCTCCAGCTCCACAAAACTCGCTCCAGTCCGGCGCTCTCTCTGTCCAGCACGGTGAACTCGTGAAGGTTAGCGAGGCTACCGTCTACCAGCAGCGCTAACTGATACACACACGCGTTACCGTCGCTACACTTCACGTTTAGAGCTCAAGTTGTACCGCAACGCTGTTATATAAGTAGGCTGGTTGTTTTTTGAGTAGCTTCACGCAACGCGAAGCTCACTTCTCACCGTCTAAGCGACCGTTAAAACCGTTAGTCCTTCTGTAAGTGACCGTGGTCCAGGCGGACCGATCCGATCCGCTGTCTCCAGCAGGGCTGGTTAGTTTACACCGAAACCTCGTTAAATTTTTCACCAGTCGGATTAAACCTTACCTGATTATGTCATCGTTATGGCCCAGGTAGAATTTTTGCTTGTGTTCCCGTGTGTTGTACACAACTCCCACACCGGCCACAAAGTACACTATTTCCTTGGCCGCCGTGTAGTACAGGTTGTTGCGGCACTGGTGTCCCCGGTAGCCGTAAACCCACTCGAGTCGCAGATGACAGTTCGGTGCTGTTCTGTCAGCCATGTTCGTACTTATTTCTCTCCGAGGCGAAGAGCTGGTGTTCTTTCATTCACGACGGCGAGCCCTCATGCAGCCTCTTACCCGTGCGGTCCGCTGTCAGAGCAGCTCGTCCGGCTACACACAAGTCTGTCCTGACGACATTTTTCACACGAAGTCCTCTCCTCAACTTTAGTCTGTCAGCATCCTGGTCACGGCCATATGGTCCTATTTTTGAAGTGGTGTAAATGTGTTTTTTAAAAGCCTGCCTCGCACTTCTTTCACAGGTGTGAAGCAGCTACCTTCTTTCTTCTGCTGACCGGACGGGCGGCTTTGCGCTTGTGCCTCGTCAAATCCCGAAAATACTATTTTTTCCCCGTGCCGTTTATGCGGTACTGCCCAATCGCGAGCTGCAGCGTTGATGGACGTTCAGTCTGGCCAATCAGGTTGCAGAAAACGGACAGCGCAGCCTTGAGTGAAAAATGACACACCAATAGTGATCGTCGGAGAGGCGCAGTCATACGTTATACATGGGGTTGTTCACAGGGATAATGTATCCTGCAGTTACACTCTTAAAATGTAAAATTTTTTTTTCCAATTTGGCGAGTTTGTGTTTGTGTGTTCTAACATTATGTAACACAGAGTAATTACAGTCAGGCTGCTATAAAAAAAAGAGAGGCATCTAAAGATGTGATATAAACCATGAGTCAGACTGGTAATATATGGTAAATCTAAAAACAATAATGGCTTTACAAAATCTCTGAATATGCCCTTAAAGGAGAATTCCACTGATTTTTCAAGATATCTATATAATTACATCTTGGTAATGTAAACAATGTGATGCAGAGTGGTTTGATGTAAAATGGTTCATTGTTTAGAAACTTCCCCACTCAGATTTCTTTACCGTGGTGGTGATGGGAACCAGAGTTTGCGATGTATACAATGCAAATGTAATTTACTCTCCAAAACCTCCATGTGTCTCCATGTGAGTTTTTAAATGTAATTTAAATTAAGTTTTAGGCAAAAATCTTATTGCAAAAGAGGCTGTAAAACATTTGCATAATTGTTTTTGTAAAAGCTTTTGTAATAGCTTTTTTCCTGAGGCAGCTTTCAGATGCATTAAACTCTTCCAACTTCTGGTTCCTATCACCACCATTGTGAACAATTCTGACTTTCTGTACGACAGAGCATTTCCCATCAAACCACTATAAACGACTTTTTTAGATTTGATCATGCAGAAATTTAAAAATCAGTGTGACTCCTCCTTACGTATAGCTGATAAACTCCCTTCACTTCTCCCTCTCACTCACACACTCACCCACACATACACACACAAGTGAAAACCTCCAAAATGCTGAGCAGCAAGAATGCACAAATTCATACAAGGTACTTAAATTAATTTTTAAAATGTTTTATCTGGAAGAAATCACAAAGTGTAGATTGATTTGTAACTTACAAAACACAATATGCTGTACGTCATGTTCTGAATGTATGTATGCAGATATAGTAGGGTTGTGCACTGTATACATACATCGTCTATTTCATATCTAAGTAAACATTCAAGTGGATTTCAAGAACAATGACAAGTTTGAGTACTAAATAGGGTGGGTTTTTTCCATTTCAAAGCACAATAAAGGCAAGAGCACAATAAAGAGACACAAAGTAGAGCAGTGTACAAAGCTGTCATACTCTCTCCACCTCACAAGGCTAAGAATCGGGCCATTATTAGGTCATGCGGCAAAACGTAACCTTACATTTTTAAGGTTTTGATTCCTACCAGCCAGATAAATACCCCTCCAATCATTCTATGATCAAGTCTATGATTGGTAAAGATGTAATTTTAGTGGAGAACTGCACTCATTTCATGTCTATACATGTTTGAATATGTTAAGTTCATAATGTCCATTAGATTCCATTAGATTAGACTCAGATTGGTACAAGTGTCATATTCCACCAAAGCAGAAAGGAAAAAAAAGAAACAATCCAGTAAATGAACAATGGAGGCTGATCACTGAAATCACTTTTGTGCTAAGGTGCTTTTACATTTTGGTATATACACGTTGAACGGAAAAGATTTAGGGTTCCACTTTTAAAAGTAGACCCCTACAGGTGAAGGAAAGCACTACACAGGAAGTCGCCTCAAGCTCCTCTCAGTCGAAGTACCACAGTTCTTCACTACAAATCAAAGACTCAGAAGCTTCAGTGTTATTTTTACATCCCAATGAGGCAAAGCAGTTCCTAAAGTATAAAAGGGAATTGACTGAACACAGCAGAGCATTAACATCATAAGTTCGTCATTTTTTTCTAAACTGCATCTGCAAAGTCCTCTGTAACGGTTTTCAATGTTTTCCTTAATGAAAAAACAAACAAACAAACAAACAAAACTTGTTGTGCATATGATCGTCCACATGAATAACCTGGTTTGGTTAAAAAAAAAAAAAAATTAAAAAATATTATAATACTAATAAAAGGTAAACCACTAAACATCTATATGCAGATTACAGGCTAAACTGTTACTTGCCTTTTAAAAGTAACATTGAATCAGTCAAAATTAATTTACTTTCACAACATTTTGTTCTAGTCTGACCCAAAACATGGAGAATTGAAACTGGTTTTAGTGATATTCCATCTTGGTTAAAAAGCACCAATATTGCAACATGTACTAACACATTAACTAAAAAAAAAGTATGACTACCAAATAAACAAAAATTAGTACATTAATTCAAATCAAGTGAATGTAGAATCATCCACAGCAAAGATACATCAGCCAGAGATGGCACATTTTGCACGACCAACAGATTTTAAAACCTGTAATGCCTGTAAAAGAAATGCCCTTCATTCAGGTAAACCAGGAGGAAAAAAACAGATTTGACATTTTCCAAACGGGACCCGACAAGCCGCTGCTGAGTCTTTAACACATGGCCTCAGAAATCATTTGGATTTCTATAATATACTCAGATAATTAGAGTGATAATTCACTACTTTCTCACAAGTTTGAGATATAGGAATACAAATAAAAATGACTTTCACTCATAAAAACAGGAATGGTTATGTTATAGGCATTAACGTTTGCCTTGGAGTTAAATTTCTCTTTCTGTGCAACTTCAAAATATCAAATTGACTCCATATATACAGTTATCATATAACAATTCTTTGTTCTTAACTAAGGGTGTGATTTAAATTAAGAGGATGCTGTTTTGTAGAAATGTACTGTTCAAAAACAATTTCACCAGACCACACCCAAAATACTGGAATTTCAGGAATGCAACAGTTTCTGTTAAAAACACAGACACATACATACAGACAGACACACAATCATACAGTCTAAATGTTGCATTTTAGGTATTAAATTTGTCTACTTTCATAACTCTTTCAAAAACATTGATGACACTTGACATTGCAGTTCACCTGCAGTTTATCTTTGGACCAACACCAACCACATCATATGACACACAATAAAGAAACTCATACAGAAAAAGTCAAGTGTCATAATATTTTACTAAAGCTTTATGAAAGTTTTATGAATTTTACAAGATCAGCTGCTTTGAGCTGAAGAGCCATGGTTTTAAGTTGCATCCCATGGTCACTAAAGGAAAGCAAAAAGGTGGTCTTCTTTTCCTTATAAGTAGCTATATTCCATCGGTTTTGCTCTCAGTTTGGAGCTGACTGGGAGATTTGCACTTGCACAATGACATATTAACGCAGGACTGATACTTAACATGGAGCACAAAGGCTTTATAACTTTTCGATCTTCTGGGGCTGATTTATAGGTGGTTATGTGTCAACTGACAAATCAATGCATCATTAAGTCCCTCCTCCTGCCAAAAGCAACGCCAGACCTGGAAAGCTTCGGATGAGGTTTCCCTCTCGTGCAGAATGCCTAGTGTGTTAACTCCATTCTCCACTCAAACGAAAAAGACAAACGTATATTAGAAGAAACCAGTTGACCAATGCTGAATTCGCAAAAGTTCACGTTACAGTACTGCGAGTTATTAGACTGGATACAGAAAGGCAAAAGGAATCCATCACCCCATTATCAACACCATTATAACCAATATAGTAAAAGGTTTATTTCTGATTACAGATATATTATTAATATCAGTAATTATTGTTATTTATTATTATTCACTTTGTTTTTCTCTATTTGTTCAGAGGAAGAGGGTGGTGGGGGGAGAAGGCTGTCACTGTGAGGAGGCCTTGGTGGCTATCGTGGACACGCAGTGCTGCTGGAAGTTGGGGGACATGGCTGGGGTGCAGCCCAGTCTCTGGCATGAACCCTTCAGGCCTCCCTCACCCTCCACAATCCATGGGCTGCTGCTGTCCGATTCCTTGCCCAGCAGGCTGCAGCATTCTTGCGAAGGGGCGCAGCTCCGCTCTCCTGAGGCTGGGGTTGTTAGCTGTCCAGAGGGGGGCTGAGCCGAGGGCGGAGCGGGGCAGTCGTTGGAGGACTGGCCTTGGAGGACACTGGTAATGTGGTTAAGGAGATCGTTGAAGAACTCTGGAACGCCCTCATATCCTGGGATGGAGAATAGCAGTAACGTATAAACACCTTGAGAGCATGGTAAATAGCAATGGTAACTGATTCTGGTCCTGGAGGGCCAGGGTCCAGCACAATGTGGTGCTTTCCCTTTTCATCTGGCGATTACCAGATAAGTTGAGCCAGGTATTTTTGAGCAGGGAACGTCAAACTGTGCTGAACACCAGCTCTCCACAACTGGAACCGAAGAACAGCAAGAAAGATCAATAGAAAGAGAAATAAAGATATAGAGGATTGGTGAAGCTAAAGTTTTGAGTAGATGGCCACCAAAATATGGATCTTAAGGAGACTGCTTATTTGTGTAAATGAGAATAGAATAGTTCCTTCTTGCAAGTGGGCACCTTGACTTTGTGTCCTGTGCAGCTGTTTTGTGCGCTTTTTTTAGTTTTGCTTGTTTTTACTAGTTTTCTATTCAACAGATCACGTTAGATAATAGATCACTTTCTAAAAGGAAAGGTGACTTTAGTCTGCAGACAAGCCAATTCAGAAACTGCTTTGCAAAACTCAAATATATGAACATGCAGTCTTGCCTATGTCATTTAGATACAGTACTCTGTCATCACAGAACTAAGGAAAGTCAGTTTAATCAGAAGAACAGTAATTCCTGTCAATCATGTCTTTGATATTTGTTAAAAGAAAATGATTGGCTTGTATTTGAAACATGTACTGCTATGGCTCTTGAGCTTGAGACAGTGGGGAAAAACCCTCTTCATTATCATTCTAGGCGAAAAGGGCAAAACGATGTGGCAACATTTAAAATAAACAACACACAAATTTTGCACTTAAACAGGTTTTTGATGGCACACACCGGGGAATGCATTAATGTCGATGACTGCATGTTGGCCCGTCTGGTTGTTGATGATGACGTCGATGCCAAAGAGTGACACTCCTAAAGCCTGTCGCAGAGATCTAGATAGCTCCCTGATGACGTCATCACTGGGAGGTTGGGAAACACCTTCTACATTATCTCTCTATGAAGAAAAGTAAACAGGAACAGGCATCCTTTATAAATGACTGCATGCAAATCTTCCACTTAAAAGTGTGTTTCTATTTTTAAGTGTTTCTTTTTTTTTTTTCAAACTACCAATTTGGTAAAATATTTAATGAATCTACAACTGAAAACAAAGAGCCTCAATATTTAACAAAAAAGAGTTTTCAGAGAGACTTACAGAGGTAAGGTCTGAGGACGACTCTGGTTTAGACACATTATGGCTGTTGAAGAAAATAGCTTTTCTGTCTGCGGAAATAAGAGACACAATTAATTATTTTTTCTTAAATAGCATCTTTCCTTGTACGTGTGTTGGATGAGAGTGTAAGTGTGTGGAGGGGCCACTAGGTTGCAGCAGAGGCCAGCAGCTGAGTACAGAGTGCTGTGAAAATGCCTGACTGAAAGGCACAGGCAGGAGGAGACAGAGCAAAGCAGGTTTGCTAAAAGGATGCTGACATATACAACCATACATCCATTATCATGACAGAAGGCCTAATAGCCAGATCATATGGTACATACAGATTTCAGTAGAGCGGTTTTAGGCAAGGACGTGGTGGTTTAGGTACATAGTTTGATAAGTGTTAATGGCAGGTATAAGCTTTCATTATTTGTCAGCTATATTAGCCTCGTAGGTCCAGTGCAAAACTAAAGTACACTTTGGACACCAAGCATCTTGGCTGATCAATAGACCTCTGAAGTTGGGTATCATACTATAGTCAGCAATGTGCCCGTATTAGAAATTTAAATGCTCAAATAAATTAAATCAATAATACTTAAATAAATGCTGCTTTCAGAAATCGTTGCTACTGCATCCTATGGTAAACAAAAATGTTCCGAATCTGATACGTTTTGTCCTACATACATACCACAGCCCACTAAGTGTCACTCTGAGTTGCGAGGCTGTTTAGCAGTTGAAACATGGACATTGCTACACTCATGCTACAAGCAAACTAACACTCCTGTGCACTGAAATGATGACACATGAAAGTGCACTATTAAACTTTAACACTACTATAAACCAATACTATTATATACTCAAACGGTAGGCTACTACTGCCAAAGCAACATGATCATCACATCTGTACCAGCTTGCTGGTTTGTGTGGGGTATTTTGGTAAGGTTGCCAGTCTTATGTCACTTCAGTGCACAGCAGTGTTAGTAACCCTTATTTAATCTCTTTTGCAAGTGAGCCCTGGCCAAGGAGGCGCCACACAACATCCAAGTGGACAATCAACAAAGAAACAACAACAAAATCAAATGAAAATAAAAAACCAAAATCAAATTAAAAACAAGAAAAAGTATGTAATTCTGTTCATCTTAAAATCAGTCAAGGAGTTAAACTGTTCCAATTTCAAATGTTTCTGTACATTATTTTGACACAGATGAAGCACTGTAACTAGAAGCTGCCTTGCCATATTCAGACCATACTATCACAGTGAAGGTCTGAATATCCAGAATGTTATAAATCTTAAGACACAATGATAAACAGAGTCCAGTGAGCAGAACGCTGTTTTGAGGTATGTCTGTACGTAATGGTTTAGCTAGCTTAGACCCAGGCACCAACTGCAGGTCTATTACATTTGTGGTAAAAGGAGAATTATGTACATTTCATTTTTGGCTGAAACATTGCTTTAACAGTGTTAGCACAGCAGGCAGGTGGACAGGGCAACACCCTTGCTATTTTTTCTAATTATCTCATTTTGTTAGTCATCAGGATTTTCCCTAATATATAGCACCAGCCAATTTGCATACCAAGTAATTCTGGACCATTTATATTGGTCTATTTATCATTAAATGTTCAGACAAGGCAAAGCCAGCTGGCATAATAGTGTTTAAAAAAAAAAGGGAAAATAAAGAAATTGCAGGGTTCTATGGTAAGCTTTTGGCCAAGGAGCACTGGTACTTCCAATTTGAAATAAACAGGAGCACACACAAAAATCTATGCGAACAAACATAATATGATTTTCCCATTTATTTCTCATATCAGTCAGATTTTTCCTACAGATTTGTCCAAGCTCTTACATAACATTAGGAACTATCCTTTTTAGCCAGTCTGCATTTATGGTTTTGTTGCAGTTTCTTTTCATCAGTGTTCCTGTTCTTTATGTAATTAAAGTTAAAGTATGTCTTTGTCCCAGCAGTTCTTATAAGTTTGGCCAGCAAGCCTGACATTTTATACTGTAACATTCTGACAGTTTGAAATACTGTTTTATGATATAATACTATTTTTGTTAGAATCTATACTAAGACTTGTGAATTAAAAGAGACAATATTTCTAACTCAGCTCATCTTAAAAATAAAAACCTGTCAATTATACGGAACAAAGAGCCATTTTGGAGCCTAAAGAGTCAGCTGTTATTGGACAGCTGAGTCAATTGATCTGACTCACTGAAAAAGCCGTAATGGCCATCATTAGTTTCACAATTGTTCAGACTGCTTTCCACTGCATTCCACTGCATTCCACAGCCTTGATGCCGCACTCTTTACAGCATGGCTACAAACTATACAAAATGCATGTCTCCCACATTTGAACTTCTCAATCTGATCAAATTAAATGCTCCACATTAAACAAGACTTTTCTTTTGCATCAGAGGGCCATTTAGTTGCTGGTTGTTTTGCTTAGCAATCGGTTAAGTAGCCCATTTAAATGTCAGAAAAAAAACCCAACATACTTGGCTTTAATTTGATGATGCAGTTATGCTAATAATGCTGGTCAATGCACTGCAAATATACTACTGAGCTTAATATTGGCCGTTTCTGTGATGCTCCTGCACAACATGCAGCAAAACAAATGTTTTAACCCCTGACATTTACATTCACTGCCGTGAAACCACAAGAAAGGTAAAAGATATGAATCCTGCAAGGCTTAGCTACATTATGTGACTTGAGAGCTATGCAAGTTAGCTATTTAAGAGGTTAGGTAGGCTTCTTGTGACATGCATAATGAGCCAATAGAACTGTCCCATCATGCCCTGTAAATATAGTAGCATCTGAGGTCAGTGGCACACATCACTGAAAAAAGCTGCACGTTTCTATTCATGCAGAATGAATATGCATAATGACATCCAAACAATGTTACAACTGAATTGACCACAATCACTCATCACACCTTTTTAGTTCCCAGGAACAGGAATGCAGTACTAAACTGAATCAGGAAACAGCAAGTCTTTAGAAACTCTGCGCCTTGTTTCATTAACAACTTTGATGGTACTTTCCTCCTTCACATTAGTCATTTTTCCAGCCTCCCCCTTCACAAGTTATAGCATGATCAGCGCAGTTAGCACCGTGCTGACCTCTAGAAGTTTGCATACAACTAACAGCCTTCTCTAACAGCTGCCACAGTGTCTTTGCATACTAGCTTGCACAGTAGTGTATGCAAAACGCTTGTCCTCCGGAAAGGTACGGCACTGAAAGCTTGACTAAGGTAGAGATCATGCTGACTGAGTAAAAACAAGAGCATGATGATCATCACACTTTCTCTCACACCTAAACCACTCAAACCATAGAACATCTTTCAAATACAGCAAGTCCTCTTGCCATATGTTCTTTTTATGTTTGAAATGTATTTGGCCCGAAATGCAGGGAGACAGTCAGAACTAAAAAAAATACCCAAATTGGATTCCAAATACACAACTGCACACTTGTGGACAGATAAATGTCCAGACAGTAGAGAATGTAACTTTTTTTTGTTGTTGTTGTTTAAAGTGTGGCATGGCTGCATGTCAGTATCAGCTAACTAGTCATAAGCCTCAGTTTCAGTTTGGTATTTTTAAACACTCACAAACTATAGTTATAAATTGCAAAGCACTACTAGAATGAAACATCACACTACAAAGAAAGAACACTACTATCATAATGGAATAATGTTGAAGGCTCACCAGCTGGGCCAGAGGGAAAGTTCTTGAGGGAGGGTCTCTCGACCACAGTGTATGAGTCGCCCACTACAAACACCTTATACAGCACTGCATTGTGGTTGATGAAGCTCTGGATCACACACGGGGGCTTAATGTCCTTCAGGTCCTCAGCACTAAAAATGATTGCCATCTGCAGAGACAGGGAGAAAACTTACCAATAATATGAAGCACCTCAGCTGTATGAGAACTCCTCAAGGGAAACATTTATGCTGCACGAAATGAACCAAATATCAAATTCAGATTACACTGCTGCATACTGTGATTGCAATATGCCTCGCAACCATTACTGTGATATGATTAAAAAAAAAAAATAGAGATAGTGGAAAAGGTAACTGAGGCTACCACTTCAAATGAGCTCATGAGCTAACTAGTACAGCACTGGAAGGTAATCACAGACTCATTGTCTTGTTACAGGTGGATCATGAACCAACAAGTTAGACAAACATATTTTTGAAACATTTTCATGTTTCTGGACCTAGCTAACATCAATTAGAGTAGTTAGCATATTTGACACTATAGCCACACCACAGCCTCTGCCTTCTCAGTCATGTCCTCAACAACACATCCTTGTCAAAAACTGCCCAAACTGGATTCCAAATGCACAACACAACAGGTAATGCTATAGTAAAACTCTGCCTTCAAAGCGAAAGCATTTTTGCCATGAGCGGATGTTACCCTGAGTCAACGCACTCATGTTCCATATTGGCAAACTGTAATATAATATTTTTACTTGCAAATATGTGCTAAATAATAAAAAATAATAATAATAAAAAAATATTTTGGCAGATTTCTGCAATAAAATGTAGCGAATACACAAACAGTGAATCAGTACTCAAATACCTGCACGTTGAACGGTTAAACGAGTATTCGAGTACCCATGTACATCCCTATTATACACATGACCAAATAAATTTATTAAGGTCTCAATACGTCTCATGGAAAACATGGTGTGACTAAAGTCTTTACAATGAAGTTAACAGTAACTGGCAATCCAGTCAGGTGGAAACAGCAAGTAACAAAGCTAAGAATTGAGCAGGCATTTGGGTACAAGTATGCATGTAAGTGTTAATACTTGATAACCTGTGGTTAGCTACCACAGATTAAAAAGATAGTGTTAAACGTGGTGGAGTCCTACCTCGTGGGAGTTGGTTCCGTGTGCAACCCGTGTTTTGCAAACTGAGAAATGAAAGAAAAAAAAAAACAGTGTGTTTCAAAAGAATGATGGAGGATAAATATACATGCAGTAACAATATGATTAGATATAATGAATGCTGAATTCACTGGCTTTAGGGAGGTTTACAGCATGTAACAGATGTCTTGTGATTCTGCGTTAACGAAACCTGATGACTAACCCCTGCATCAAGATATAAAGGGGCACCTAAGTCAAACAAACTGCCGCTTCCTTTGACTTTTCCCGACAGGAAGAGGTGGGACTTACTGAAGGGGAATGTAAGACCATGTTGCTTGATCTGCTCCACTGTGTCTGGCCCGCACTCACTGTTCAACACCATGAATGGAGGAGAGCAGATCCGCTCATCTATAGCCAGAGAGAGCAAGCAAGAGTAAAAGTATGGGAGGGAGATCGAGAGAGAGAGAGAGAGAGAGAGAGAGAGAGAGAGAGAACGAACGAACGAACGAACGAACAAGAACATGAAGTTTAGAAGAAACTTGAGAATTCTCCTTTGTAATATAAGGAGACCAGCTGAATAAAAATTTTGTGATATGAGAAACAGGTAATGCTATAATAAAGCTCCGCCTTCAAAGGGAAAGCGTATTTGGCAAGAGCGGATGTTACCCTGAGTCACCCCCATAAAACAACCGCACACTGCCAGTTCTGAAAGCTACTCACTCATCGGTTCCCGCTCTTCCCTATTTACACTAGTGGCAGAGAAACAATGGCCAGATAGCATTCGGCCCTGTCTCCCCCTGCATTATGCAGGAGCCAGTGAATAGGGCTGGCGCAATCTGACCTCAGTGTTAAAGGCTTTGTTTGAAAATACTGTACTCTCACTATCCTGGATCTCACTCTGATGAGCAAACAATGTGGTTGAAATGAAAGAAAAGGATCGATATCTGTGAATGAGTAGCAGCTGCACATTCAACACAGCAGCTGTAGTGGAAAAACCATGTGCTTGTCCAGTAATGCTGTGTGTGGTTACTAAGTTCTTAGTCTTGACTTCAACTGTTAGTTACTCCTATGGACTATTAAATGGTCTGTATGAAATGATATGACTAAAACAGTCTCAGCACTTCTGTGCACCAGTTATCAGTGCAATCGACACCAAACTTTTGCTCATCCCAGCATCCCATCTTTACAAGTTATATAAGTGTTTTAAGAATTTAGTAACAAGTAATCTAGGCAATGTAATCAGATACTGTTGATGATTGAGAAGTAACCAGATGGCGAGATGTAAAAGGTGATAATCGCAATTTTGGGCAAAGAACTGAACAAGAACTAGGGAGGATCAATTTACTGTCAAATTTCTTATAAATATGTTGTGAAATTGGGGTTTGTGTTTTAGAAGTGTATGGGTGCGCACTCCAATAGTCAAGCTTTTTTTCTGTTTGAGAGAGTGAGAGTGAGAGAGAGAGAGTTTGTTAGAGTTTTTTTGTATGTTAAGAAGCTGCCAGTTAGTTCTCCCTGCTACACACTGCAACGTTAGCTTTACCTGTCCCATGGCTCTTCACTTCCTACTTATTTTACTTTAAGTTTAGCTTGAGTATATTGGAACTGAAAATAAAGCTAAACTGCCTAGCTGTTACCCTAGAGTATGTAGCTGTAACCTAGAGAGAAAGTTCTTCTGATCCTCATCTACATTAGGAAAAAACAGGATTAGTTGATAAAGTTAATAAAGTAAAAATTAATAAATAAACATTAAATAATATGTACATATAATGTTTTATTCACTTTGACTGTTAAAACACTGAGTTGTAATAAGGCCTTTAAAAGGCTACAGTAGAGTAAATTCCCCACTGTCTCTGCTACGTGTGATTTACTGAATAAAAAAATTGCAGTATTTTCTGTACAGCTTAAGAGTCCCAATGGTTAGCTGAACTAGAAAATGCTGCTGTAATGACAGAAAACACCTTGTTTTTTAAATGTGGAGCATGTGATCATGACTTTGTGATCAATTATTTTAAGCTATCGCCCAGGACTAAAGTAAACAAAGCATTCTACATGGCCAAAAGTGAGCCTGGCTCACAATCAACGTTCTTATTCATCCCAACCGTGTTCAAGGGCTTAAGGTCAGGGCTCTATGCTGGCCACTGGAGTTTCTCCACACCAAACTTGTCAAACCATGATTTTATGGACTCTGCTTTGTTTACAGGGACACAGTCATGCTGGAATAGGAAAAGGCCTCCAAACTGATGCCACAAAGTTGGAAGCATTTGATTGTCTAAAATGTCTTTCTATGCTGTAGCATTAACATTACCCCTCACTGGAGCTTAGGAGCCAAGCCCAAACAACAAAAAACAGCCCCAGACCATTATCCCTCTTCCACCCGTTACTGTTGGCACAATGTTTTCATGTAGGTAGTGTTTTTCTGGCATCCACCAAACCCAGAAGCATCCATCAGACTGCCAGATAGTGAAGCGTGATTTACTGCTCTAGAGCCCAGTGGCAGCATGCTTTACACCACTCCAGCCGACGCTCGGCAGTGCGCATAGTGATCTTTGGCTTGTGTACAGCTGCTTGGCCTTGGAAACCCATTTTATGAAGCTCCTGACAGACAGTTCTGTGCTGATTTTGCTGCCAGAGGCATTTTGGAGCACTGTGTGTGGCCTCACTCTGCGAGTTTGCATGGTCTGCGCTCTGTGGCTGAGCTGTTGTTGCTCGTAGTCACTTCCATTTCACAATAATAGCAGATACAGTTGACCAGGGGAGATCTCAAAGCAGAAATTTCACAAACCGACTTGTGGCAAAGGCGACATCCTATGACAGTGGCACATTTAAAGTTGCCAACCTCCTCAATATAACCCATTCAACTGCCAATGTTTTTATACAGAGATCACATGGATATGTGTTGATTTTACACACCTGCTGGGTGTGACTGAAACACCTGAATTCAATAGTTAAGAAGGATCTCCACATTTTTGACCAGGGGTGCAGGGGTGTCCAATCTTATCTGCAAAGGGTCAGTGTGGCTGCAGGTTTTCACTGCACAGGAGGTCACCTGATAAAACATTTGAATACTAAGACCAACTGATTAAACAACTGGAGTCAGGTGTGCTCCAACTTGTTTAGAGTGAAAACCTGAGGCCACACTGGCCCTTTACTTATAAGATTGGACACCCCTGACATAGTGTATGTTGTGCGTTTGTCAACAGACATACCATTTGTTTCTCTTGGGTCTGTTTTTGTTTGCCTGCCCCTACACATCTCGCAAAAACAAGAGTCTGTGGTTGGTCGATGTGCATGCCAGTCAAACAGCCCCTTCCTACCAAAGTAGGCAACTATGATCTCTTAATCTTAATTCGAGCTATAATTTACGTGTATGATTTAGGCCTCTTCTAGTGCACAGAGCGTGAAAGCTCATCAGTCTTTGTGGTTAGGTGTGTGCATGACATCTGACATGTGTGGTTATCACAAATGACAAAGACATGTCTTGGGAGCTGCTGATATGCTGACAACACAACAAAGGTAATGAGTAATAGCCAAAGCTTAATGAAACTGATGACAGTGCTCTGATGCAATCACCATCAGAGCACTGTCATCAGTTTCATTAATCTAAACTGAACGTGTAGTACAAAAACGTGTTTAACAGACATATTCAGTGTAAATTTTGTAAAAGGTAACTTGCAAAATAGCTGAGTCAAAAGATTTTAATAGGATGTTTATACCCTACAGTTTTGAAAAGTTGTGATATTATATTTCTGCAGATTCGCTTTATAGCATCAAGGCTAAAATTGCTAACAGTGAATGAAAGTGAAAATGTCTTGCTTATCAATCACATTTGGCATAGAGAACTGTAAAAAATTAGATTCTTATTAAAAGTATTTCTTTAACCTCCATTTGCTGGGACACCCCATGTATTCAAACCCATTATACAAGCCTCATTTGCTTTCATGTCATCTGAACAGTGACTAAATATCTAAACGATTCCCATAAATCTCACTTTGCAGGGAGTTCGCTATTACAGAATGCTGGAAGAGTGGTCAGCTGCGATTAGAGTTTTTAACCTGACATTGTCTGGCAAGAGCACAAGCCAGCACTTCATTTCCTGTTTAGCTGTGCCGGTTGCTGCGCTGGTGAGTGATGGTATCTTGTCCCCCGAGAGATCCTGTAATGTAGAAACTAAGAAAGCAGCATGGTTTTCTTATCAGAGCCTGCACATATATCCACCAGAAGGGCCTGAGCTTTTGTTCTGTAACTCCTAAGGAAGCTTACATAAGCCTTTTTCATGCTAGCCAGTCAGAAAGGACATTGATAAAATCCTGTTCTGTTAAAGAGTGACAGCTGAGAAGTTTTACCAATATGACTATGGTAATGACAGTTCTACAGAGTCCAGTTCTGTATTGATGATTTGACTCTTTTCTTAAAAGAGATAAGTGATATACTGGCCTACTTTAAAGAGATGCTCAAGTCTGGTAAACACATTCCAGTTCTTCAAACCCAAATTCCAAGATCTCCTCAAAATATTTCTGAACAACAAACCCTAAAATAGCCAAAAGCCTTTCCTTAATGTCAGTAAATGAGATGGATTTACAAGACTATTTAAAGATTCACTAAATATTGTAATATGTAGCCCCGTTTATGAGCTCTGTGTATTTAAAGACTGTTAAGATGGGATTTCTCTGAAAATAAGAGATTCCGCTATTGTAAATGAATGGAACTGAGTAACATGAATGAGTGAAGCCGCTCTGAGAGAGTCCAAACACTCTGTTGTATCTGGTTTAGGACTAGCACTGTGAGTGTCCAGGATCAATCTCCGGCTCTGTCTAAACACTCCCCAAGCTCTGTAGACCTGCAGGAGCCGGTTGAGACGTTTATGTGACGTTTGTGGAATGTTTACAGCAGGTTCATGAACGCGGGTTGATGGTGAATGCTTTGGAGCTCAGCCGTGATTCCGCGGAAACACAGGGGCGGAAGGCTGAGAGACTGAGTAATGGGATAAACTGGGTCTAAACTTATTGTTTAAGCTGAAATCAACATTTATTTCACTACCCAGCAGTTGTCTTACAAGAACACTTTTCATTCCCTGAAGGTCTTCCATGTTTGGTGGGACTGCGCAAAACTAAAACACTAACCAGGGCAGTTTTACAATAAAAAACTTAAAGGTAGATAATAGGAACTTTTTTCAGTTTTCAACATAAATTGAAAGTGATTGCTGCCCTTTACATTGTGTGTTAATTTCATGATGAATGGACCAAAAGAAATTACCCAAATTACTTGGAAAAAAGTCTGGTTCTATTGACTGACATTGAAAGTAATGTAGGTTTTTTCCTTCTGCTGTAAAGTTACCATTAGTTTTCTTCCGACGACAACTGCGATATATATATATATATATATATATATATATATATATATATATATATATGTGTGTGTGTGTGTGTGTGTCTGTGTGTTATACGTATATACATATATATGAATGAAGCGCCATCTGAGGGATCAAAGGTCATAGGCATTCGGTTGTGGCATTCAGCATTCTCCTACATGCGGAGATCTCTATGGATTCACTAAATCTTTTGATGATATTATGCATTTATTAGGTGAAAAACCTTCAATCCTTGCAATCACTTATTGAGGAATGTTGCTCTCAAACCGATGGATTATTCCAACACAATTTTGGGCAAAGTGGCGAGCCCCGACCAATCTTTCCCTATGAAAGACTAGGCCTTTCCTAAAAGCACCACTTACAACCAAGCATGACTTCTTCACCCGTTTAAGACATTTTTTTTAGCATTTCAAAACGTTCCTAATCTTAAATTAACCCTGTTCCCGCTTTTTTGGAGCGTGTTGCAGGCAAGATATTTATTAAAAGTTACGTATGAAAAAAATTAAGTTGATAAGGTAAAACCTTTTTTTTGTCTTTATACTGTTTTCGTTTAAATACAGTTCACATACTGTCCCAACTCTTGGAACTGAAGTTTGTGCACCACAACTTGAAGGTTGTTTAAAGCTTGAACAATCAACAATTGTCCTGTTCCTGTCTACATATCAAACATTTCCACAATCGCCAAAGTTCATAGCCTACACTGACAGAGGAAGGCTGTTTATATGTTTGACACTTTAGAAAAGACTGACTGATATTGCAGATTCTATGGCACTTTTCTAATCCAACTACATAATAATAACACTAGAAACAATAAATTCATATTTACACAGGGTTCTCTGCCTACCAGAAGAGGGGGATCTGGATTTTGACAATGGAAGTAAGAAGCCTGGCCTTTTAAAGGCTGAATCCCTCTGCCATCTGCACAAACAAAAGGAGCCCTGCACAGGAATTACATAAACACAGTGGAGGAAAGGATTTTAAAAGTGTAAGTTACATTCCTGACCTGATGAGTCTCCAGAGGTAGGACATAAGACAGGAGGAGACAATGTTTAGGCAGAGCGTGGTGAGCTGTGAATGAGTCATATGGAAGAGAGCTTGGACAAGCTCTGTTGCTCGCTCTCTGTAGTGCCACTAATCACAGCATAGGGCCTTTCATTGTGACACAGCTGGCGTGACGCAAGTAAAGTGTGTGTATGAGTAGAGAAACACGACAAGAGCATGCATTCATCATGCTGGGGTAACTGTTACTGGTACTTACATACGGTTTAAAAAAAGGAAGTCTCAGTTAGGCTTCCTTTTTACACACTCCTATTACACTTGCACAAGCAGTTACATAGACACACACATGTACAAATATAGAAAGTACAAAGTGGTGAACTTTTAAAAATCGAGACTCTTTACTATTAAAGACAATTATATTTCTTGCTATGGGAAGCTTAGAACCATTTTAGACTTCCTAAATATTTGTGATTCTGCAATTGCTGAAACAATACATCATGGGTGGTTTTCCTTTTATACAAAAAACCACTCTTGAAAAGAACCCAGAGACTTTCACACCTCAAATGGCTTAACAGGTGTACCACAAGGGTCTGCACTGGGTCCTGTGTCGGCTCTCTTTTAGGATCAGTTTTGCAGCCTGTTATAATTTGCAAAGAATTACAGGGTCATCTTGGATGAAAAAGTATACACTTGCAATAAGTAACTCAGGCCTGTAAAATTGTTCTTTTAGGCTAAATCAGTCCCTATTTTAAAATATACTCAAGTCAGACCATGATTCCAACTTAAATGCTTGCCTTAATTCATAATTCATAAAGCACTGTTGGCTTAAGATGCCACTTTTTGCTTTTCTGACACCAATCCTGAAACCTTAAGGATCAGTAGATACTATTACCAGTGTCGATATCATTTTTCTTCTTTGAAAAAACCTACTAACGTTTAAAATGAACTACTTTTAATTGAAGCACTTTCCTTAAGATAAACATCTTAAAGTAGGCTATCATGTTCAGACTACTCAAACACTCTACTACCCCACAGGAAGAAATACACAGCCAACACCACATCGCACAATGTTATTACATGCTAGATCTGATACAGGACTGGATTGGAAGCAATCTTTTTCCCTTCCAATATCCGATCTGGCATTTTCTGCTGATATATGGTAACTTGTTCAAAATTCACCTCATCCAATATTTATTAAAACACCCTTTAACTACTACTGTCTGACAAATGTACAAGAAGCATGGTCAGGGTAAATTTAGCATGTAGAACCTTATCAAACCTAAACAGATGCATAAATGCAAAATGAAATGTAGGAAAGGAAAGGAGAGGAGAATTACAGACTGGGGGCTTACAGATGATTTGGTTACATAACCATCTGCCATGTCTGGTTGCACCAAAAAGACTCACAAAATACTCACACAGACAAATATAGATGACACAAACACACCATGTGTGCGCAGGTCTATGCCAGTTTAGGATGCTGCATTCTGTTAAATTTGTGCAAAAAACCACTGTGTGGACAAAACACAAATATATGTGTACATTCATTTGGGAATGCTATAGTTTAACTATGCCAACAGTGCTAACTCTCAATACAAAAAGGTTCAATCCATTTTATGTGGAAGCTTAAATGCAACATACCTGGACCACTTTCTGTCTTGCACAAAGAGGCATCAGTTCAAGGTTATGAAAGGTTTTCTTTCCCAAATATGAAAGGTTTCAGCATTGGAGTTACAGTAGCATTACAGCCCTAAAACTAGCATTTAATATTTGATTTTAGTGATATTCTGTCACGCAACATTGCATCCCTCGGAAAAGTTTGAGCAAATTCATGATTTTGTACCCTTTTTGTGCTTTCATGTTCTCTCACAACAATACCCCGCATTATGCAAATATGTCATACTGCATCTGCTTGCATCACCATATTGGGCTTACTTGCAGAAACATCAGCAAGTATTCCGCATCAGCTATACATAAAAAATAAAATACAATAAAAATTAAAAAATTGAAAATAGCCCATACTTAAGCATCTGACCCAAAGCCCTCTAAGCTTTTTAGAAATTGCACACACCTTCAAGATAAATCATCTGAAAGTGGTTTTCCTAGTTTGTAAACAACAAAAAAATCTCACTCAAGAAATCCTGCAGCAGGAAATCAGTAGGCATGTTTTCAACTGATATAGCGATGGTTAACTGTTTTTTTTTTTTTTTTTTTGGTGAAGTTGTCCCTTTAATATAACACATACACACAAAATACCTTGCATGCAGTCCTCTATACGGTGGACTAGCTGGTAGGACTTGCAGCGGTCCAGCAGGGTTCTGATGGCTGGTAGTGGATCCAAGACTATAGTCTCTGGGTGAGCATCTATGTAATCCTGCAAATCCAGGGCAAAAGGTCACATTTACTAAAGGAAGGACTCGGACAGAAATTAGAGCTTTGAACAAATGTCTTTTCAGGCATTAAGAATTAGGTTAAAGCACAAATGCAAAATAAAGGGACAGCAATCACTGGCAGTACAGCACAGCTATTCAAATTGACTACGCTACTATACCATTTGTGTGTGAAAACTAGACATTTTTGTTTTGACTAAGCAAGTTATCTCAGAAGCATGATCTGGCATGTGCGCTCACATGCGCACACGTACACACACGCTCACTTCCTGAGCTCCGTTACGTCACACACACTGTGCACAAGGCTGTCAGGTTTTTACATAACACCACCACCCTCCTAGGGCTCTGTCTTTCTCTTCATAATGCTCTCATTGCACCATCACTTCTCTCTCTCTGTCTCTTAAAAACATCAAACACTCATCATCACAGTTTCTTTTCCCCCTAAAATCTCATCACTGAATTTCTCCATCAGTGTGGCACTTGGCCGCTTTACTCATTTCTCTCCTTTTTCACACTGCCTTGCTTCAACAAACACATTAGCATACCACGTCTGCGCCAGCATGTTTTTACACAGCCTTGTATGAAAGACTTCTTCATGCATGTATTCTTTCACTGTCGCCCCAAAATCTTCACACATGCATGCACACGCACTGTACATGCGCGTCTGCTATGTCAGCAGGAGCATCACTGTGTGGGGAGGAATGCACATCTTGCCAGCACAGATCAAACAGAGGAACATGTTATGTAAGGCAACCATGCTGCCATCAGAAAATAACAACTCTAATCTTTCACGAGGTCAAAATGACCCATATTTCAGTTCTGAAGGCCTTGTATGGCCGTTTACACTATCAGTGTAATATTAATTATGACTCCATTGTAAAGTGTTGTCTTCTTTGTTCCGCACACAGAAGGAGTAACCATCCATGAAGAGCAAGGTTATCCTCTACACGTCGTTTAAAATGGGGGAAAAAGAAGGGAAAGTTATTGCTTATTGCAATGGTGCATATTTCATCATTTCTGACCTGACCCAGTAAGATAAAAACTACATATTACAAATGCCTCCAGCAAAGGCTAGCAGACAGCCTTGCATTTATATCACAGTATTACTATAAATGTTGAATTATTTATTGCCTCTTTTCATTAAGGGAAACAGGCAGAATGACCTCTTGGAGAATACAACAGAACTGCACAATAATCACATTGTGAGAGGAAAGGATTATGAGAAATCATTTCGTGGTTAAGCTGTCGCTCTGCAACCAGGTATCTGACTCTTATCCAAACTGCATGGATCATGAAAGATTATAATCTTCTATTTAAACTATTATTAAATGTGACATGTTTGTGGGTTAACGAACACATTTTGTAAAAGTGAGTAGTTAGCTGATACATTGTTTGCTGTCTAAAAACTTTCAAAATATAATGTTGTCTTCTAAGCTCAGCACTTTAAACAGTTCATGGGTTGCAAAATGTAAAAATAAAATTCTCTTATGCAGATGAATGTGCAGCAGGGTATAAATAGTGCAGTTATATCAAAAAGGTCACTTCAGTACAAGGTTCTACCAGAATATCATTATCTCATTATATTAAACCAGTATAATCCTCTATCATTATATTATTCATAGTTGTCCAAAAATTCCTGTGAAATATTTGCTTGATTAATTATGTTCATTTGACTTTGCTCAGGCACTGTGGGCTATGGGTTTCAATACATTTTTAACATGCCCTCGTTAACTGCAACTCACCGCTCAGAAGAGTGTCACACCTGCGGTACGCAAGTGGCCACTTGCAGCACCAGAAGAGGAGGTGCTGATTTTTCAATCAGAACAGACTTTGCCTTCAGCCAAGCGAGCCTGAGAATTTAGCTAGCCATGCAAACTTTGTTATGCAAAACTTTTTTTAAGAAGTCTGAGCATAGCGTACATAAATTTTGTTCATAATTGATTTGACTGGCTATAAGCTTTGATATCTTGACTTTATTCTTGTTACTGCTAACTGTGCAGCCTTTAGTTTGCTAAACTAGCAACTTATGAGAGTACTGAAGTTACATCAGCAGTCATGTGTAACAGATGAAGTAGTTTTCTACATAAATCCCAGTTTGAACTTAACCAATAGAATGGAACTAAGTATATATTGTTATTGTTTATAAGCAGCTTTGTCTGCCCTTTTTACAGGGCTTGAAAAGGGAAATGTGTTAGACTGCAATGACTTCTGTGCAAGTTCTGCTGCTGTTGGTGACAACTGTGTTTACTTGATCCCTCACTTTCCAAAGCCCCATCTAACACACTTCACTTTAGCTAATCAAATAAGCTATAAAATGTCTTAAGGAACGTCCCTTAAGCCAGTGTCAGGGATTCCCCCAGGGAAAATGAGGAGATGAAGTTGAAGAGGGCATGTGAAAATGAATATTAAAACAGTCAGTAGATCTCACCATGAATGAGATGGAGGTTAATTCTGGGCCAAACTTCCTCTTCCTAATACAAACATCTACACTTAGATCTGCACTAGTGGTTATTAAGAGTGCTATACTGTCTTTTCCCTTGTATGTGGTTAAATCATGACCAGAGCATTATCTTTTAAGATGTGCCTAAATTAAGCAGCAGACACCTGTACTCTCTTAAATGTTTTTAAATGTTATATAATGTGCTTTGCAAGGATCCTGTCTTGCCACTATAATTTATATGATGGATGATAGATGAATGAGATGCATCAAGCTATCTTCAGGGCCATTTACTAATATGACATGGCATATCACTCACTACATAAGCCAGACAAACTAAATCTCTCCTGTGACACTTTACAGACCCTCAGTCACTGAGTGAAATATGGGAAGACATTACCCATAAATATGCATGCTGCTGCTGTCATTAGAAAACCTTGTTAACGCCATTTTTTTTGGTGCTTAAAAAAAGCCAAGATGCGTTTTCAGTAATACAAGGCCTTCTTTTTGACACTGACAATATACAGTATGATACTTTGGGTGTGTTTCATCCAAGCTCACCTGCACACGCTGGACCAGCAACAGGGACTGGGTGTCGTTCTGGTCCGCCTCCAGGATCAGGTCCGTCAGCTTGTGGATGATGACGTCCAGCGGACCCTGCTCTTCTAGAGGCTGGCTCAGATCAAGCTGAAGGCAAGGAGAACAATGGACGATCAGTTAAAACTGCCGAAATACGGTCAGCAAAAAGATCTGAACCTCAGGTTGTGCTAACAGGAGCTCAGGCTGATCCCTTGACATTTACTCATTACCAAGTGGACAGTTTAATATTGCATTATACTCTATTTACTGCACTGCTTTCATTGTCATATGCTGGGTCTGATGCCTCCAATGAAAGCATACTATATCAACAAGGACAGTGCACCATTAACTTACTTAAAAACTGAAAAACAGCACTGGAGTGCATTTATGAATGACAAGAACTAGAGTCTAGACAACACCGAAGCTGCAAAAAGATCAAGACAGGACAGAGTTGAGTCATGCACTGATCTGGGGGCCCTAAAGGAAAAGGACATATTTGTTCGACTTACTCAGTCTAAACTGTCATGCTGTGTCAATAAAAGCAAACTCAAGGAATCCCCAAGCTATCAAAATGAGCTGCGCAGACAAATGTGATGGTTTTGCAAGACTGCTCAAGAACAATTACAGGGCTTCACAGTTACCCATTTCAGTACATTCACTGTTTACTCATATTAAAAGATTCTAAACATTATATAATAATACTACTACTACTACCACTACTACTACTACTAATAATAATAATAATAATAAATGCTTCTCAGTATCTTTCAATGTCTTTCAAAGTTTTTAACATATAAAACCAGTTTAGTTTCAGATAGATGTATAAAATGAATTCAGTATGCTAGTCATGTGCTATTTAATTGCTTTCAAATAATTTGTAGGAAGATTAATCTTTTTATTTTGGTATAAAATACTTTTTATATCCAGTTTATCAAATTTAAATCTGCACAACATATTTGATTCCAAACATTTGACCATTACTGTATATCTTAGCCTTATAATCTGGCTTAGTTGTTAGCAACTAAAAACAAGTACAGTGCCCATAGAGTAAGAGTTCTTAAGAATACTCAAAAGTTTCCTTCTTTTTACTCTTTTATGCATTTCAGAATAAGGAATCAATACTATGAAAGGATTAGGGCTGGCCCAGAAACTCGCAATAAACAGATCTGCTCTTTGAGCTGTAAACCTCCTGTAAAACTGTTTAATTATAAAAGCAAAGGAGAAACAAAAGCTGCATGAAGCAGTTACATGACTGCGCTGGTGTTCCTGTTGGAGGGAGCGTGGATGAGATGCAAGGTGGGGCTCAGATAGGGATCCATATATTAACATTTGAGAAGATTCATCAAACTTATTGTGCTTCCGTGGCATCAATGTCTTATCGCGAATTTTGCACTGAGCATTTTTGGCATAGTCAGATAATCTAAAGTGCTCCAACACACTTGATTTCTTAGGGATCTTTGCTTATTCAGCTTCAATGGCCACAGTTGGTTTTGCTCTGAGGTGAGGCGACATGTATGCCTAGGATAAATTATGATGTATTCAACCAAACCAGTTGTAATTTATTTACATTTAACATATTCTACATATTATATAAAACACTTGTTCCATCAATTTAAACTGATATCAAACTGTTCTTACTACAGGCCTTTGCTGATGAAATGTATTTTAGTGTACAATTTTGCCTTAAAATATAAAGCCTCCAAATACTAAATAGAGAAACAAATACCACTTAATGAATGAACACTTGAGTATTCAAATTATCCGGTCAGGCCTAGAAATGATACACATGATATCATGTAGTGACCAAAAAGTGTTAAACAAATGAAACAGTCTTTGCCTTTGATGTAGCTTTGCACACTCCTGGCATTCTCTGAAGCATTTTCATGAGCAACCTCTTGGGATGCTTTCCCAGCAAGCTTTAATAAAGTTTCACATATACTGAGCACTGCTGGCTGCTGAAAATGACTTCTTATTCATCACAGAATATATTTTTTTGGAAAAAAATTCATAAATGTTTACCAACCAAACAATTTACGGTTGTATGCAGAAGTATAAACACCCCAGTCAAATTTCTATTTGCTTCCTAAATATGGCATTTTTGGCTAAATTGAATGCATAATATCTATGTATTTGCAGTAACTGTGCATTACAATGTGCAGAAGTGTGTTCTCTGTAGAGAATGTGTACTTAATTTCACTTGGAAAATCAACAAAACATGTAATTTGACCAGGGGCATTGAAATATTTGCATTTGACTGTATATATGTCTTTGAAACACATTTCTTCAGCATAAGCCTTTATATCATACATTCAACCTGCTATCTCCAAAGTTTACACTAGTGCTTTGAGTGCAATTAAAAATTTGTCCCCTGGACATTTTACAAACCTTAATCACTGTGTTATCACATTAAGTCTCCATGGAAAAGGAAACAGCGATCAGACAATAATATTTACAATTTGAAATGAGTCTCTTTCCTCAAAAGGCTCATTCTGACAGTGTTAGAGCACTGATGACATGAAAAGTGAAGAGCTCTAACGTCGATGCGCTGACAGGCTCACTCTGCTGCATGTCCTCCTAATCTCCTGCTTACACTACACAGAGAGGCCAGGCCCCAGACCACAGCCGTATGTGGAGTGGAGAGAAATACATACGCCAGTCTGCTACTCCAGTTATTTCCCTGGAAGGAAGGTTTCATACACAACACCTTCACTCGGAACACAGAATGTAAACAGTGATCCTTTCTGGAGTATAAAAAAAACAGAAACGGCTCTCGCTTATGGCTTGACTGAACGCTGATATTTTGATGTTCTGAACATATTTTGTCACTGAAGCTTCATTAACAAGACTAACACTAGTGTAAAGGCACTTACTGCTACTGCCATGCTTGTTCATGCAGACACAGGACTGATAATTTATTCATGAAACGCATCAAAGGTAGGGCAACCTGACACAGCATGGGACACAATACACCAATATTTGACCGTCTGCTTCTCAAGGCCGTGTATGAACTACCCATGTCTGCACGAACATGTTGAGTCTAGACTGCATGCAGCCGAGATGTGGCCTTTCTCTCCTCACTCTCTTTATTAAAACATACAATATAGAACACAACAACCGCCAATTAGACTCCAGTAATAATTCTGAGGAAGTAATCACTAATCACATTCAGCAATATAAAGTATAGCTTTAACTTAGGGTGCAAGGGGGATGTGTTTTCACACACACTGAGAAAGAGGCCAAATAATACAGCACATTCTGTTAAAGTCAAGAGCTGAAAGCTTGACTTTTTTTTTCTTTAGAACAAAATTGTTAAATTATTAAATTTTTCATTTTGCCAGCAACAGTATTGATTGCTGCAAATAATTAAAGCTTAATTACAACTTCAACCTTAGTCTTTAAACCTATTTATTTTTCTTACATAGAGGGTGAAAGAGTAGAAAAGATTATTAAGTCCCAAAAAATGGAATGTATATTTACTGAGCTGGTTTATAAAATAAGAGGTACAGACATTTTCTTAAAGTTAAATAATTGGCATCATATAAACATTTTCTAAAGATGAAATGGAACTTTCATTGCAACTACCAAACAAGCCTTTCTTCAAGGCAAAGTACAAGGACTCAGGCAAAACGTCAGATGCTTGTCAAAGTTATTAACTCACATCAAACTTCATGTTGCTGACACTAACTTATTTTTTAAAAAATGTACAAAAGTACAGACAAAAGTCAAGTTTCAAGCTGCTACTATTATTCTACTCCTACTCTATACTACTATACTATTATAGAACTATGCAACAAACACTTCTGTTGATTTATATATTCTACACAGGAGAAACCTGTCTAAATGTTATTTTTTACTAGGTCACAGCTTTAAAACTGCAACGTACAGTACAGTGCAAATGCAAGAAACTGTAATTCTGAGGTAATTAGATATAAGATTATTGACTTGCATTGAGGAAGGGGACAGACAAAGGAAAATACACAGGAGAAAAAAAAGGGGTATTAAAAACTAGAGCAAATGGGACTCCTAATATCCATGCAAGACCTGGTAGACCACAGAAAAACATCAGAAAAAACAGTCCTTAAAACTCTTTGAGAGAGAGGAGAAAATCAAGCTCCACTCTTGCCTCAAATCAGAAAAAAAAAATCCACAGATGTTTCTGGCCATCCTTCCACTGTAAGAGGACAACTCAACACTGAGTCTGAAAGGATGTGTAGCTGTCAAGAAGCTTTTACCGAGAAAAGACAGTAGACAAAAAAGAAGCTGCTGGTGTTCTCACCCCAGAGTCCAGACATCAACATCACTGAATGTGTTTCGGATTACTTGGAATACAACCAACTTCTAAGACTGAACTTTGGAGGTATAGATTTAATTGAAAAACTGAAAGCAAGTGTCCCAAAGAGAATGTAAGCTGTAATAAAGGGTGAACATCCTTAATAAAGTAATAAACACCCTAAACACTGAACATTTTGATCTTATATTTAGTTGTTGAGACTTCTGTGGAATTTTCTACTAAATATATGCTTTCTGTTTTTCCCCCTCACTTTGAAAAACGAATGGCTTATACATACTTAAAAAGATGGTTCTTCAAGTGTTCTTTAACAAAGAAAATGGTTCTATATAGAACCATGAACACTCAAATGACCCTTTGCATGATTAAATGCCTCTTTGCACGGTGAAATGGCTCTTCAGATTGGTGGACAATGTGCTGCAGATGGTTCTATACAGAATCATTTTAAAAAGTTTTATACTTGACATCGTAACAATAGAAAATGTACTGATAATGAATGATTAGTTCTGGATCACAAACACCACTCAGACTCCTAAAGGTATTGGATGGTGCTGTAATCACTCCACAGAACACAGTTCCACTGCTCCTCAGCCTAAAGCTGAGGAAATGTCTACTACTCTAGCCAATGTTTCACATTGGGAAAGGCTCATGAAAGGCTGATCCAGTGTGCCCATTCTATTGGCGATGCTTTTCTATAGAGGGTATATGAGCTGTATAAATGCCTGTTGCAGCAAAGGGTGCAACTTAAAGTAGCCGAAATTCACTCATTAAAAGAGACATCTGGATACTTCTGAACATATACTGTATATTCAAATGTTCAGCAAGAACATGCAAGAAGGTAACAGACTTAACTATTGAAAAAGTGTCCTTTTCTGAAATGTGGTTTCTCTTTCTCCTAGTATAAAACACTCATTAAATAAAAGCATTGCTCATTAAATAAATGTCAGACGAGAAGCAGCACTACGGAAAACAGTTAATTAAAATGTCCAGGCTGAGGTCAGTTCTGTTCGTATCTGAGCCTGCAGCAAGATGGTGAGCAAGTCAGTGTTCTTTGTGATTCCTCCACTCAGGAAAAGACGGTGGAGGCAGGTAAGGCAATGGCCACCAAGAAGCTTGAAATGAGTTTATGTAAAAAAAAAAATAATAATAAATAAATAAAAAAAATTAAAGCCTGTGGCTTAAACGATGAGTCATCTCACGTTAGAAGGCTCAAGACAAGAACAGGGTTTCAATCTTGGTGAATTAAAATGCAAATCAAGGAAACGAACCAAATGACAAGCAAACCTTTGCTTAAATGTTGATTATTCCCCTGAGTGTAAACCGAACCCACATTTTTAATAGGCCCTTTAAGGCAGTTTCTGCTAATGTCACTGCGATCTATCAACCAAAGCATCCTCTCACCACACAGCCTGTTCTGTTCACAAACCAGCAGCAGTTTGAGGGCGAATGATGCAGTACTTGCTGAAGCCCAAAATAACACAGGGAGAGAAGAAAGCAGAGGAAGAGAGAGGTGAATATGCCCGTCTGTGCTGATGTTACTGCTCTTTAATGTTTCCCTTCATAAATTATTGACACACACTGAGCCTGTGTTCATATTTTATGAGCAGATATTAGTGAATAAGAGCCATCTGTGGTCTGGTGACCACGGAGGAATACAGCCAGCTGCTACAGACATGATCTACTTTCAAAGGATGATAGTCATGTTAAATTGCTGAGGATTAAGTTCAGAGTTTGAGAAATCCTAACTGAATAACTGAAACATGGCGAAGTGTTTCTGATATGAGTAATCACTCTACACTGGAGTCAGTCATCAATGAAACTGCTACAAGCAGCTAAACGCATAACCAAAGAGCTGAAGACTTCCTGTGGGTTTCAATGAAAACCAAACACTTAGCAGAAAGACAAATATTAGTAACTTACACTCTAGCCCAACTCACCTCAAAAGAAAGAGAAAGAAAGAAAGAAAGAAAGAGAGAAAGAAATGAGGAAAGAAATGTGGAAAGGTAGAAGAAAGAAATAAAGAAAAAAGAAAGAAAGAAAAACAAAAAAAGAAAGAAAGAAAGAAAGAATGAAAAAGGATTGAAAAAGAAGAAAAGAAAGAGGGAAGAAATAAAGAAAAGAAGGGAAAAGACATGCAGAGAAAAGAGAAAGAAGAAAGAAATTAACTGCGAAGATGAACTGGGTAAATGAACTGCAGAGGAGCTGAGCTGAATCACTAGGGGCTGCACTCGTCCTTCTACCACTAATGAAGATGTGACAATCATAAAACAGAGGAAGGTTATTACAGAATCCAGAAACATATGATAGGGAACCTACTACAGTGGTGCTTTACTGTAATCTGCGAAAAGATCAAGCAAAAGATCATAAATTCCTTATGGGACATACCTTTGTTTTTCCCACATGAAAATAGAAAACAGCCCCCGGGGAGGGGGTCAGTTTTAAGAATGTTCACACACAATGACGTAATTAAAAACTGACCTTCCGAACTCAGTTAATGTCAAATACAAACATCAAAAGCAGCAGTGATGACATCATTTAAGAAGAACAAGTCACATCCCAATGTTTTTTTAAACAGTAAAAGGAGTTGCTACCAGACTAAAGCCAAATATTAAGATACCCTGCAGATGAAGCAGGCTACAGAGATCCTTGTTAAGACTTGAATATAATTTATAACTTTCACTCTCCAAGGCCATGATCAGTTGTTGTGTCTGCACTAAGTACACAGACCAGCCCAAGGCCAGATGATTAGTGGTGCTTACACTATAGTCTCATTAGTCCAGGGCTGTGTCTGGGGAGCGTCTCTGAAAAATCCCTGGTGTAATCTACACACCTTCACAATGGAATCTATATCTGTGAAATGTCTGGGATTCAGCCTGGCTATACTGCCTGCACAGGAGTTACAAATTTTCAAGTTAGTTGCATGGAAACAGTTATGGAACAATATTTGTCTTCTGGCTCTAGTAAAGCAGAGTAGTTTTGGATACAATCAGCGCTGATAAAAATAACAGAAAGAAACAATTAGATAGATAAATCTAGGCTAATAATGGAAACATCTTTCTTATTTTTGAGAAATAAATATTTGCTTACCTGAACCACTTCTATCCCTCTTTTCCTATAAGAGAAAACAAAAACATTATAAGCATTCACAATACATGCATGCCTTGATATCAAGTATTGACACTTATTCAAGATTAAGTATTCAAGTATCATTATTACATGGTGACTACTCACACCTCATTGGTAGATAAATCATTTTAAAGCATCATAATTAACAGATATTTTCCATCATTTTGTCACTGCGATTTGACAAACACATTAATTACATTCACACTTGTGAAAATTCCTGAAACTTCTATACAATAAAAGTTAAAGATAAATGAGCACTCGCACAATGTTATTTAGCCCAAGACTATGTTTAAAGTGGCAGTGCTATTGCTTCTTAAACCCACTATAAACAAATAGAGCTGAACAGTCTGGTTCTGGAAGTAAAAATCCCTTTAATAACCCTCATAAGGAATTAGATTTTTAGCCATAAAACTTTAACTGCCCAACACAGACCTATCACAAGTCAAAAGCCAATTTGGTTTCAACTTTTTTCCTTTAAAGTGTTTTATTCCCCATTTCTCGTAAAGAAATATACTATCCGTAATCCTTAAAGTGAGATCCACCAGTCAGCGACATTGTTGTTTCCATCTAAGTATCAACTAAGTCATTTAGTGCCAGAAAAGCATGAAACAGTCTCTAGTGGATAGCTTGAAAACCAAAGTCAGATGGTGTAGTGGACTGTACTTTGAGGCGCAGTTGTATTGGGGTTGAGGGGCAGGTTATCGGTTCTATTAGAGACAGTGTAAAAAAATTGCACACACACAATTGTGTTGGGTTTTTGCAGCCAATAAATCAGTATGTTAGCTTACAGGCAGCTATCGTGAACTACACCCAAATCAAATCATTATGACGCTGCTATGCAATACAAACACATAGACGACATGAACGTCCTAATATATTTATATAATATTGCACAATGCAAGGTGTGTAAAAGGAATTAAATTAATTAGGAATTTAATACAATTTTAAATTAATATAGATTATTAAAATCTTTCTTTCATAGTAACGTAAGCCTCACTGAACTATGGCTCACTGTACACTGAACTAAGCAACTTGCTAGCACGAAACCATAAAGACAAAAAGCAAATGCTATAAGTAAATAAAACTTTAATATAAACAACAAAAGCACAAAATAAAATTAGCAGACAAAATATGTGGCTACAAAAGCTGAAAATGGCTTAGATGAGAGGAAAAGTGATAGGTTGACATCATTCGCAGTGCTTTTTAGGATAAGTAATTCATTCCAGTTAAAAATGTTAAGTACACAGTCTTGTAACTTTTTTGCTCCACATAAATGTTTATAATGTCATGATTGATCTTGTAGCTGGTTGGTTGTGTTGAGTGCTTAAAATTCTTTATATAAGAATTTTTCAAAATGTCAGTGGAGAAAATGAATGTGATTTTTACTTCTGGAACCAGAGCTGCTGAAAAAGTGAGTGGTCACTGTTCAGTTCTACAGCAGCATGTCCATGACTGGACAGTGATGACTATCAAGTAGTGCTGCAACAAATATTCAATAATATTCGATAAATAAAACATCTGAAAGCAAAAAAGCCATCTGAATAACTTATACCAGGCATTTTAATAAAATGCTTCAATGAGCTACAGTGCATCGCTTTTATCAGTTCAACAGAAAACAAATTTTTGTTTATGAAGCTAAACCCTAGCAAGACCAGCAGCACTCTGGTAGCAGCGCAGGTAAAAAGAGCTAGATGGTCTGCCTGTGTGTCACCAAAAAAAACAGTGATTTACAATTAGCCTTTTTCATGTCAGTAAAACAGTCCTTTTCTGTAAAAAACACAGCAATATCACAGCTGTAGTCAGAGGCTGGCCTATTCTCTACTGCATTTACTTCTGAGAATAAATTACAACACACAGGTCAGCGAGCCGCACATCCGGAGCAGAAACAAAGACCTTGTTTACACCTGGTGACTTCATATGACTAGTATCTAGATTGTATCCTGATAATATTTTGGCCATATTCATTTACACTTGGCAGTCAAATTGCAGTCCAGTGATTAATCTAATTGCTGTGTGGGACAGAAAATGCAAATCCGCTTGTTATGCGGCATCCAATAACCTCGTCTTCCTCGCAGACATGGATCACGTGCCCACTGTTTTACTACAGAGACTACCACAGGACCTTATCTTCAAATCTGCATTCAACAGGAATTTTTTAAACTTTGGCTACAGATAGTGCTGTTCTGGTTCTGTTGTTTTGTGTATTAAGCAGGATGTCGTGTTTTCAAGTGGTATCAAATCTGTGCTGTAGAAGTTCTCGAATGTTGGGTCCTTGTGACGTCATTATAAATCACTTGTCTAATGTTCTTTGCAAAAAGTGTAAAATAGTTGCACAGGGCCGTCATTTTATCCTCTTTATAAGTTGCTGCTCAAACTGTTTGAAAAAGCCTGAACTGACCGACGCAGGAGAGCGAAGGAAACAAACAGCATTTTAATCAATGTTTCTTGTTTTCTTTATCACTCAGATGATTTGTTAAGTGTTAGATTTTGAACCTCTGTTGTAGTCCTACTTAACCTTTTGGGTTTTCGGTGGCCAAAATTTGGGTGCATCCCTAGAAAAGAACAGATGTGCATGGTGTGTGGCCGATATGACAGGCTATGCTCATTAGTGGATTTTATGCAGTTTCTTTGAGGGAGTCTGTAAAATGTACAGGATAAGCACATAATATAGATTATATGGGTTCTTTGGCTCTCTTCAGAAATCATGAATAGAACAGGGAGGTGAAGGGGGGAGGAAGTGAGGGCAGGTCAAGAGAACATTTAAACAGAACAGAACTGTTGACAGCTGTACTCAGTGAAAACAAGATACTCCAAATATTTTTCAGAAAGTGAGAAAACTATTTAAAAAGAAAAAAAGGTGAGTACATTTTTTAAAAACATGAGTAAATGGCATTTCAGTTTTAAAAAGGTGTGTAAAAGGCGTTTGTGTTTCATCCTCCACTACATCCCTGCTTACGTGTTAAGGAACTTTTACACTGTAAACCACAGAAAAATGACTGCCCAATCATAGATGCAGCCTGTGTCTTATCTACCCAGCATCAACCTGACAGAACAAAGAAGTGGTCTACTTGATGTCTGTGATCTACCACACAAGCCGTGCATGCCTGAAAGCAAAAAAAATTGGACATACACAACTGTGTTGGGTTTTTGCAGCCAATAAATCAGTATGTTAGCTTACAGGCAGCTATCGTGAACTACACCCAAATCAAATCATTATGACGCTGCTATGCAATACAAACACATAGACGACATGAACGTCCTAATATATTTATATATTAAGCAAATTCCACAAAACAGAATAACTTGAACTACAAGAAAAGCTAAGACAGTTCTGAAGACTGTACGCAAGCATCAACTGGAAAAACCTATCAACATTTTTTCCATTCCATTGTTGGGAATGGCGTGATAGTGCAACTTACGCAGACATGACGTGCTCTCATGTTTGTAGGTCATTTTTCAGGGGAGGCTTGTTTACTCGGAGCAGTTATAAAAACAAACCAAAACGAAGTTGGAACTGAGCACTAAATATCAAAATGGAGATGCAATCAACTATATCATCCATGACGTTTGGCCCACGTCACCACATCCGGCAATATTTGTGACTACTTACTTTTCAATAGGAAATTAAAGAAAACCTAAAAATATCTGTTGCCTAGCAACACAGCCGCAAGAAAGAGAGGAGCCATTATTGGACATGGGAGAAGAGACAACATGAGACAAGCTGATGTCACCAACACCATTTAGAACGACATCAGGGCATCATGATGCATTAACACTGCCTACTTGTCTCCAAATTCACGGGTGTTCGGACTCTTCTATAAAACTTACCACAGAGGCCAAACAGAGGTCAGTTATCACAATGTCTATCTACCCCAGGATAAGCAGACATGCCAAGAATTACATTGCACTATGTAGCCTAAAGCACTACATGTTAATCTCATAACCAACAGCATAGGCAGACAAACAGAGACAATAAGGTAACGAGGCAGGTTTTCTGAGTGTATGTGTGCCTGTAGAATCAAGGATAGTGTGAGTATTACATGAAAAAGGTAAGTCATTTTAACAACACCCCAGGCCATATGTTTCAAAAGACTTTAGTTAATCTATTCCTCAAAATCAGTGATTGTTTCAGAGGGGCTGACACAACATGCCTGAACTCATCATCACTTTGGAATATGCGGCCACAGTGAAACTTCTCACTCATAGCTGGGAAGGGCAGAACAGGCTAAAACCAGGAGTCTAGACTGAAGAATTACAGCAGCACAGTATTCAGGACTGTCACAATTACGTGATTAAAAAAATACTGCATTCACACTTCGGTCCATACAGTCCTTAAATGGAAACTAAGCTGTAAAAACTGCCCATTTTAAAATCATTGTTTTCGTGAAGTCACAAAGAAAAACATTTTTACATGCATGTGCCAATTGAACCTACAACCGTTAGGCCCCTTATTTACGATGAAGCTGTAAGAAGTGTTTCAGACCAGAGTGCTTCTTAAATGAAAATATAGGGCATCCAATCAGAACTGAGGTCATCTACGTACATCAGTCTAAACGGCAAATTAACAAAACACCCTGTTTCATTCAAATGGATTAAGAACAGCTGGGAAAAAAAAATAATGTAAAGAGGAATTATGTTTTTGGGACGTAAAACAAAAACATCACAAGTGGACCAAAGAAGAAAAAAAATGATATGAAAAATGTAGATAAATTTACCTCTGCAAAGAAACAGCAAAGATTAGTGGCCAATTTGCAACTGGATATTTTGCAATTTTCCTACTAGCCTCCCTTTCAGTAAGAAACTAAGCCTAATAAACAGACCCAGTCCAATAAAGTGTTTTTGGAATCTTTGAAAGGATAAGCATAGTTATACATAGTTAAGTCCATTTTTATTTGGCTTTTTTTTATTATTATTTTCGGAACTCAGATTATTCAACCATCAAAGTAACTAATAAATGACTTGACTGATAATATAACCAATAACAAT